AAAGAAAGAAAGAAAGAAAGAAAGAAAGAAAGAAAGAAAGAAAGAAAGAAAGAAAGAAAGAAAGAAAGAAAGAAAGAAGAAAAATGCTTTCTTATGTACGTTGCCTTGGTCATAGTGTCTCTTCACAGCAAAGGAAAAGTAACTAAGCCAGCCACACCTTCTGATCCTTCCCAAACAATTCCACCAACACAACCAAGTATTCAAATAGATGAGGCTATGGGGGGCCATTCTCATTCAAACCATCATACCAAGCTTTGAAGTTTTGTTTGAGATGAAAAAAAAAAAATGAAATGAGAACAAGATGGGCAGAGAGTGGGTAGAAGGGAGGGGCGTGTGGCACTGTCCCCGACGACGACGCTCCAGCTATGTCAGGGTGTCTAGCCCTCCCAGCCCTCTCCGAGTAGATGCTACTGTAGCACGCACTGACCTTGTGCTTGCTAGAGAGAAGGTATCATTGCAAGCTTCCCCGAGACAAGCAGCTAAGGATCTGAAGAACCAGTGTTCAAGTTGACCTAAGGAAGAAGTGAAAATTTGGGGTGCTGTCATCCCTGGAGCCCCACCCGACCCCCCTTCTTCTGTGGTGTGTTGGGAACCAGGTCTCATGTAACCCGGTGCTGATAAAATTCCTTCCCCGGGGAAGACATAAGCAATGTCTGCCTAAGGTTCCAGTGGCAAACCGAGGTATGACTCCACTGCCTAAGCTCACTCTGAGAAGCCGAGATTCATTTTGGGGGCTTCCTTACAGAGCATAGGTGAGAATTACTGACAGGGGTGTGGGTGTTCCCTCCTCCAGAGACCGCAGCAGAAAGGATTTCCCCATCTCCCAGGCTTCTTTAGCTTACATATCTCGCCGCTGCAGCCCCCTCCCCCGTCCATGTGCAATCAAGACAGCGTTGTTTACTGTAAGTTGCAGGGAACGCTGTATACTCTGGTGAAATCTTCTATCAGGGGAAGCAAACAGCCCAAAAGTCCAGCTGGTGTAATAATTCTTTTGTAAGTGGACACAGCTGAACTCCCCAAGATGGTGGTTGCTTGGCTCCCAGGGCAGCTACACACACCACCAGGCTGTCCATGAACTGGATAGGGAGCCAAGGATGAACCCGCAATTCCCATGCTCCTGTCTGCACCCCGCAGACTTGGCATCACAGGCACACAATACCATGCCTGCTTTCTGGGTTGCTGGGAACCAAGCCTAGGGCTCTGTGCAGGCTACAGCGTATGTGCACTGACAACTGAGCCATACCCCCCACCCCAAGCCCCTTCCCCCTGGGTTCCAGGCAGGGGATAGGCTACAGGGACAGCTGCCACCTGTGTTTGAGGCCTGTCCTCTCTCTTCCCAGCAGGGGACAGAGGCTAATGTCTCCCTCCAACAATGTTCCCCCCACAGCCTCAGGTGTGCCCAGAGGCTTCAAAGGTTTTGTTTCCCTGGAGTTGGGAGGCTGCACATAGTGAACTCCAGGTCAGTTGAGGCTGCAAAGCCAGACCCTGTCTTAAAATGAAAGCAAGCCAACAAATAATAATAAAGGCCTCGTTGTGGGTGTTATACACATCCCTTATAGAAAATCGAGAGCAGCCAAAAGAGGTGAAAGTCGGGCTGTTGAAATGGCTCAGGGGAGAAAGGGACCTGCGGCCAGGAAGCACACACACACACACACACACACACACACACGCACGCACGCACGCACGCGCACGCGCACACACACACACGCACGCACACATGCACACGCACACACAAATTGATTATTTAAAATTAATTTAATTTAGTTTTTTTTTTTTTTTTTTTTTTCAAGACAGGGTCTCACTATGTCTGGCTGTCCTGGAGCTCACTCTGTAGACCCTGAACTCAGAGATCCTCCTGCCTCTGCCTCCAAAGTGCTGAGATTAAAGGCTTGCGCCATCCCTGCCTGGATGTTTAAAGATTAAAATAAAATTGACCTGGAATTCTCTTGATGTTGGGGGAAAATGTATATGTATATATGTATGTACATATATATATATAAACACACAGATGTCTTTATGTGTTTACGTGTATGTGTGAGTATATGTGTTTACGTGTATGTGTGAGTATATGTGTTATGTTTGTGAGTGTACATGAATATGAATGTGGAAATATATATATGCGTGGATGTATGTGTGTATGTGTAATTGTATTTCTGTACGTATGTCTGTACGTATATGTGTGAGTGCAAATGTATGTGTTTATGTGTATGTGTGTCAGTGTAGATTATGTGACTGTTGTGTATATGTATGAGTGGATGTATATTTGTACATTTGTATGTTTTCATGTGTATATGTCCCTACGGATGTGTGTGTGTGTGTGTGTGTGTGTCGCGCATGTTTGTGTGTTGCTGGTTTGGGAACCCAGGGCGCACCGCCCACACCCCCGGCTTGCCCTTGGCTGGCAGGATCCGGCCTTGGCGAGGCCCTGCGGCGGCCGCGGACTGCGGCGCCGCGCGGTAACCCGGCACCTCCTGCGCCGCTGCAGCGGGGTAGCGGGCCGCGCCTCGGGTTGCCCGGCAACCAGCGCCTTAGCAACCGAGAGGGGGCGGGCCGGAGGGCGGGAGGAAGCCGGAAGCGGGAGGCGAAGCCTCGCGAGGGTTGGATTGCGCGCGGACTCCGAGTGCGGCGGCCAGCGGCAGCTGTCACTCATGGCGGCGGCGGCGGCGGCGGCTCCGCAGCAGCAGCAGCGGCCCGCGGCGACCCGCGCCCGGAACCTGCCCTGGTAGGAGCGGCCCGCATCCTGCTTCCCGCCCTGCCCGCTCCCGGCTCGCAGAACCCTGTTGCCTGCTCGTTGCCTTCAGCCGCACGCCCTCCCCGCCGTCCCGCGTCCGCACTAACCATCCCGCTCCCGAGGCCTGAGCGCACCTTAGCATCCTCCGTGCGCCTTGATGACCCTAAGAGATCGGTGGCTTCCTTTAGAAAGGCTCAGGGATGCGGGGGAGTGGGAAAGCTTGGATTCGAACTCGGGTGTCCGAATTCAGCGCTTGCTTTCTTTTTCTCCTTTCGGGTTACCTTTTATTTATTGGCGGGGGAGGGGAGTGTGGCAGCGCACCCGTGTGGAGGTCAGAGGACAACTTGCAGGACCCGGTTCTTTCCTTCCACCGAGGTGGATCCCTGGGATCGAACCCTGGTCATCAGTGCCTTTACTTGCTGAGCCATCTCGGGCCCCAGGGCTTGAATTCTGAACGGGCCGACAGCAGCTAGCGAGGTTTTAAAAGCAAGCGCAAGCCCGGCAGTTGTTCTGACTCTCCTGGTCTAAGCCTGGGGAGGAAGAAGAATTGTCTTGGGCCACACGTTAAAGTCACAGGGATGGAGTCACAGACTGTGGCCTTTTGGGTCCGGCTTCTCGAACTCATGGCCCAGCCAGCCAAATCATAACTTGCTTGTGAGGATTTGAGTATGAGTTCCTATCCAAGTTGTTCAGGCTCAGTGCTGTTGACTTGGGGACCCGCTGTGGGGGTGGGGCAACTGTCCTGCTCACTGTAGGGTGTTCAGTCACCTCCTGACTCCTACTCACCAGATGCCACTAACACCCTCCACCCACTTACAACCACTAACGCCTGACAGATGTCCCCTGGGGGACGGAACTTAACCCTGGCTGTAGTGAGATGTGAAGGGTTTCTCTTCCTCTGCTGCTTGGGATGTGAAGGGGTTTCTTTGCATGTGGCAGAACATGGCGTGCATTTGTATACGCTGTAACTCGTGCTGAATTCTATTTCAGGGTTGAAAAGTACCGGCCACAGACCCTGGCCGATCTCATTTCTCATCAGGACATTCTGAGTACCAGTGAGTATCCGTGTCTGTTGCCGTGGTCATTTTTGGGGTGGCTTGGATACATTTGGTGGTGATGCCCTCACTGCTGGGTGACAGTGTAAAGGATCGACTGGACTTTATAGGATGGGGTGTGTTGGTTTCTTTTCCATAAGAGGACAAAATTTTTTTTTTTTAAATAATTTTTTTTTAATGTCTTTTTGGTTTTTCGAGACAGGGTTTCTCTGTGTAGCTTTGCACCTTTCCTGGAACTCACTCTGTAGACCATGCTGGCCTTGAACTCACAGAGATCCACCTGGCTCTGCATCCTTAGTGCAGGGATTAAAGGTGTGCGCCACGACCACCCAGCTAAGGACAAGTTTTTAAAGATATTTTATTGTTTTATTTATTGTTTAGGTGTCTGTGCACCGTGTGTACCTGGTGCCTCCAGAGGCCAGAGGGCTTGGATCCTCTGGAAGTGTCATTGTAGACAGTTGTGAGCCACAGTGTAGGTGCTAGGAACCAAACCCAGGTCCTTTGCAAGAGCAGCAAGCACTCACTTTAGTTCCTCGCCTCATTTTCTAGACCCTCCCATGATAGGTAGGGTGAGTCCGTGGAAGACAGTCAAACCATGAGGTGACCTCAGGATGTAGTGTGTGCGCGCGTGCGCGCGCGCACGCACACACACACACACACACACACACTCCCCGCCTCTGCCTCTGGCCGGGACACAGCTAGCACACCTCTAGCTCGAGTGAATGGGAGGAGGGTCCCGGGGACTGACGGTGTCTCCTTCCTCCCGCCTCAGTTCAGAAGTTCATCAGTGAAGACCGTCTGCCACACCTCCTTCTCTATGGCCCTCCGGGGACAGGAAAGACATCCACCATCCTGGCCTGTGCCAAGCAGCTGTACAAAGATAAAGAGTTCGGCTCCATGGTCTTGGAGGTGAATGGGACATTCTCACTCTACAAGTAGCTCAGACCTCCAGACTCTTAGTTCCGATAGCTCCCTTTAACTTCCTGGCCTTCTGGGGCCTGGTTGGGTTTGGCCGGCGAGATCTTAGCGGGAGTGGGAGGGTGGGGGGGTGCCAAATGGGGATGCTGTTTGGACCCACAGGGGTTAACTTTGGACGGCCTCCACTTCCTTCAGGGCCCAACTCAGAGGTCGCGCCCTCCCCACAGCCTGCTCTACCTCCCACAGCTCTTGTTGATCCCCTTCAGATTGAGGGGTGATAGTGAGTACTGCGTAGCCCTGTAGCTTCTGTAAACCAGTGGTTCTCAGCCTCCTAACGCTGTGACCCTTTAATCCAGTTCCTCATGTTGTGGTGACCCCCCCCAACCATAGAATTATTTTCATTGCTACTCGTAACTGTAATTTTGCTAGTTAATCAATCGTAATATTTGTGTTTTCCAATGATCTTGGCCATGCCTATGAAAGGGTCCATTAGATGCCCCGCCAAAGGGGTTGTGACCCACAGGTTGAGAACCACCACTTTTCGACTCAAACGGCTGTTTCTTCATCTGGGTCTTCTCAGATTACTGCACTGAGATACGCCGTCTTGGATGTTGGGACCTGGGCTGATAATCTTAATACCCTTAGGTTACAGAAATCTAAATGTTGTCTAAAAGACAAGCATTTGAGGACCTAGGGAAGGATGTAGCTCATTTAGTAGAGTCCTCGCCTACCATCCACGAAGTCCTGGCTTTGATCCTTAGCATGGGATAAACAGGTGCTCACCTGTCGTCCCGGCACTCGCAAGTGGA